CTTAACTTTATAAGAAGAGACAAGAACATCCAGGAGCTCTGTCAGAGCTGTGGAGGAAGATATTTTGTTCTTAATGTCAAAGACAAGAAGGAAACATCTAAAATGATCCAATATGTGGAGAAAATGAGACAGAGCACAGATGAGCAGCACAGTTACACAACAGAATCACTCACACAAGCCTACATGGATGAAACCATCCAACTAAAGAAAGAAAACATCCTGCTACAAGCAAAACTGTCAAACCTGACATCAGGGGGAAAAGTTACTGGTTAGTATTTTTATTTACAGTTTATTCATTCATCCAACACAGGGGTGTACAACCTTTATAACAGATTTTATTCATCTCACCTATTAACCATAAACTCTACTGGATTGTTTCATTTAAGATCCAGAATTATGACATTTGCAAATCAGTATTTTATTTTTATTTACATTTGACACATCTTCTGAATGAGGAATGTATCCTGTTAATTTTATAAGTGAAACTCCAGACTAATGCAGTCAAAGATGCTAATTCTTTTCTGTTACAGGTGTTGAAGAGCAGCAGAGACCAGAGAGTCTCAGGATTGTTCTGATTGGGAAGACCGGCAATGGGAAGAGTTCATCAGGAAACACCATTTTAGGAAGACGTGTATTTGAAGCCAAACCAAGTCAAAGATCTGTCACCAAGCACTGTCAAAAAGAACACATTGTAGTGAACGGTCGTCATGTTTCTGTTGTGGACACTCCTGGTCTGTTTGACAACACTTTGTCTACTGAAGAAGTTGATAAAGAAATGTTGAAATGCATCAGTCTTCTGGCTCCAGGACCACACGTCTTCCTGCTGGTGATACAGATCGGCAGATTCACAGAAGAAGAAAAGCAGACACTCAAACTTATAAAGGAGGGTTTTGGGAAAAATTCAGATTCATTCACTATTATTCTTCTTACAAAAGGAGATGTTCTAAAACGAAATAATCAGTCCATTGAAGATTACATTGAAAAGGGATGTGATGACTCCTTTAAAAATCTTATTGATGACTGTGGCGGAAGATACCATGTGTTTGATAACAATGATAAGACAAACCGAGCACAAGTCAGGGAGCTGTTAGCTAAGATTGAAGCCACAGTGAAGAAAAATGGAGGCAGCTGCTTCACCAGCCAGATGCTGCAGGAAGCTGATGATGCCATAAAGAAAGAAACAAAGAGAATCCTGCAGGAAAAAGAAGAAGAGACAAAGAAAAGTATTAAGGAACTGGAAACCAGACATCACAAAGAAAAGGAGGACATGGAAAGAAAAATGAGAGAGCAGAGAGCAAAAACTGAACAAGAGATTAAACAGAAAGACATGAAAATCAAGGAAATGATGGAAAAAATCCAGGAGGTGAGAGAAGAAATGAAGAAAGAACAAGAAAGAAGACAGGAAGAAGAAAACAAGAGGAAGCGTGAGAAACAAGTTTTGGAGGAAGAGTTTGCAGCATTAAAGAAAAACAAATCAGAAGAGGAGCTGTTGATGCGCAAAGCATCCATTAGGATGCAACGTGAAACTCTGAAGAAACAAAGGAAAGTCTTAAAGGAGAAACGAAAACAAGAAGATGAACAGAGGCAACAGAAAGAACAAAAACTGCTGAAAGAATATGTTCAGGAAAAACAGGAATTTGAAATGAAAAAGAGAGAGCATGAAATTGAGACAGAAAACATGAAGAAGGATAATGAAAATCTGAAAAAAATCTACGAAACAAGAATTAAAACTCTAAAAGAAACTCATGAGGATGAAGCAAGAAAAAAAGCTGAGGAACTGAATGAATTCAAAGAGAAATACCTCAAAGAGTTTACAGCTCAGAGAGAAGAGTATGAGAAACAACTGAAAGATAAAGATGAAAAGTATGATCTGCTGCAGGCGCTCAAAGCCCACAATGAAAAACAAACCAGAGATAAGCACAAAGAGGAAATCAATGCGCTGGTCCAATGTGTGACAAATAAGAAAGAGAATTTGAAAAAAATCAAAGACATGCTAATAAGACATGAGACCCAAACAAAACAAGTGAAATCTCAGGAGGAGATTGAAAACCTGCAGAGAATTCATGACAGAGAAATAAGTGACATGGTTCAGCAACTTCTGAAGGAAAGTGATTCAAAATCTTCCTGTTCCATTCAGTGAGGAATGAACCAGAACTATGCAAATCTTTCAGACCATTCTGGACCTCTGGATCAGCTCAGTATAGACCACTCTGAACCTCAGCTGGTTCTGCGAGACCTTTGCTGGACTCATCAGAGCATGAACTGCATCTCCCTTAAGCATTGATCTTTCTGAGCAGCTTTCAGATTTTAAAATCTATTTCAGACGTTGGTTTAGCTGAAAAGATAAAAAATACACGAAAATAAACAATCTGTTTAATCAGCAAACATTTGGAAAACTTTTAACATTTTCTCTTCTAAAAGTTGGATGTATGATGGATGATGGATGTATTACGAATGGATGATGGATGTATGATGTATACAGTATATGACGGATGATGGATGTATGAGGGATGGATGATGGATGGATGATGAATGGATGATGATGTATGACGGATGTATGGATGGAAGGATGATGGATGTATGATGGATGGATAGATGGATGATGAATGTATGATGGATGGCCTTTGACCCCCTGAGGTCAAAGCCCCCTCCTCTCACAGACTGAACTCTTTTCAGCTCTCATGTAGAGCTATTAAAAAATAAGCCTTTTCACTTTCCACTTTTCTCTGGGAAAGTTCGTGTTCTCAAGGATCTGTTATTTTGCTGATAAAACAAGTCAAAACAAATGTTCTGTTTGTTTCTGCTGTTCCTCTCACATGGATAATTCAAATGCATAAACCCTTTAAAATGTGTGACTTTCTGTCTTTAATTTTAAGGGCACTATAGTAATAGTTACTTTATAACTTTGCATTTGATATGATGTTTAGGAATGTTTAGAAATTATGATCTAGCATTTAACAGAATATACTTAGTCAGTGCTTATGCTTCTATCTTTTTACATTTTCTGTTTTTAATAAACATTACTTAATCATTTTATTAGTTTAACTATGTTTATTAGTTTACTAATAATAATTCATAGTTAATCATTAGTTAATTAGAATATTAGTCTAATTTTCTTAGAGATGAGATGTTCTGCTCAGAAGAGTTTGTGAGTTGTTTTGCTGTTGTATCCTTGGTCCACACAAACACACAAAGACACATAGAGTCTCATGGGACTCTGACATACACTGAACACCTGCAGAAGATAACACACCCACTCACAATTCTTCCTGTTTTCTTAAAAAATTTCTGTTCCTTCCTGTTCGTCAGTCTTCTACTCATCTGTCCTTCCACATCAGGACCCGGGGGCGCTGGTCGCCTCGGACTCCTTTTCCTATTCTGGAAATTATTCTCTTTTCAGTTCGCCTTGCAGTGTAATTTCTCTCTTCTTACAAGGAAATAACTTTTTACAAGGAAAGACCATTTTTGTGTCAGGCAGTCCCGCCTGAAACCAACATTCGGCTGTGAGCTGCTCCTCAGAGCTTCCTGGTCAACCTGCCATGCTCCGAGTCCAAAAGAAGGGGGTCTGTATTGCCCATTCGTCTGACCACAAGAAGGCTTCAGTCTTACGCTGAGCAACAAGCGTCTGCCCAGAGTTGCTTCTGGTCTGGTTTGGAAGATCTCTGGACTGCAGTAAAGGCTGAAACACTGGCTCACAAGTCCCAGGCATTGCTCACAGCCGAACATAATTTAATCTTTAAACCTTTCAGAAACCTTTAAAAGATACATCTATTTTTGTCTTCTCTGTCTGTCTGTCTGTCACTCCCATCTCTCTCTCTCTCTCTCTCTCTCTCTCTCTCTCTCTCTCTCTCTCTCTCTCTCTCTACCAACTAAAGACACATACAGCTCCTCAAACACCCACTCACACACTCATTGACCCAAAATGTACATAAATTAATCAGCTTTTACTTAGATAAATTGTTAGATAAATTGCTTAAAGATTAGAAACAATAATGTTTTAGTGAGAGCCCATTTATATTGTTCATTGTATGTAACTACAAATATTAATTTATCATTAATCTCTTTTAATAAAAGTCAGTTAACTTTAACTGGCCTAAATAAACCTGAAAGACTTTGTCCCGTTTCTTGTGTTTGTGTCTGGTTGTTCATTTTGCATCAGCAGTACCATTCACCGAGCCAGGAAGGCAAGCTCTCATGAAAGATCATATTGATGATTTTTAACAGGGGTTTTCACTACAACTCTAACAGCTGTTGTTTTTACAAACATGTTTTACTTTGGTAAAGAACATTTCTTTCATGTCCTGATGCATCTCAGTAATCCAGGTAAAAAATCAAAAAGAAAAAAATTGTGTAGGTCTTCTGGACGGGTTCTTCTCTAATGAAACGTTTCGTCTCTCCTCCAAGAGACTTCTTCAGTCTGAGAGTTTCAGGCAAAATTCAGGCAACTCTCAGACTGAAGAAGTCT